TCGGTCTGGCGGCTATGTAGTCGCCTCCGCCGCCTCGTCGCCAGCCATGTTCTTGGCCTCTGCGTAGGTCTGGCGGCTATGTAGTCGCCGTCGCCGCCCCGCCGCCGTCGCCGCCGCCCATCCCGTCGCCGCCTATACTGCACAACATGGATTTTCTTTTTTTCGAAAGGAGGTAGGTTCTACCACCCTCCCCCCCCTGGACTTATCGACCCCCCAGGAACATACACAAACCACATATGACTCTGACCCAATGTCCATTCTACCTGCGAGTTCGTACTATCACAGCCAAGTCGGTATCGGTCCCCCTTCGGCTCCGTTGCAAAAGCACTATGCGCGCGCACTCGTTGATCAAAAACCAGAAGATTTCAAGAGTCCCTTGCAACAGATGAGACGAAGTGCACACGCGCGCGTCGTCGCGCGCATGCCGACATCCTTCAACAACTCTCGGTTTCGGAAGGATTGCAAAATCGCGTACCCAAAAACATAAAGCAACAAAGTTTCGCAACACGGATTTTCAACAAACGCGTGTGCGCGCGTTCTTGCGAATACTTAAGAAAACCATCAGTTCTCAACGTTTGCATAACATGCTACCAGACGGGCTTCACGCGTCCGCATGTCGAAATCGTTCGAACGCCCTTGCGCGCGTCAAATAACACCATGCGAGCCCCTCTCGCGCGTCTGCCGCGCGCGCATTTCGAATTCTTTCCAAAACGTGCATCACTGACGCGAGGACGCCGTCATCGTCGCCGGCGTGATCAGCATCGGCGCCGTCACTGGATGCCACGTCGTCGCTGTCAGCATCGTCGCCAACATCGCTATTATCATCATCGTGTCTACCGTTGTCGACGTTGCCATGATACCGCGCCCGCCCAGGTCGTCGACTCGCCCGAGCGGTCAGCGCCACCGCGTTCGCGTCGGTCGTGCCAAACTAGCTGGCCGCTGCGCGCGCGCATGCGCGGGCTAGCGCGGCCGCAGAGATGCACCAGCCAACACCAAACACTCAACGCCATCGTTCCCGCATGGGTTTTGCCAACCAAGTTGCGGGTGGGTGGGTGAGATGAGTGCGCGAGGAGTGGAGTTGACAACTTCAACTTCGGCAAGTGAATTGCACCACATAGGTTGCACCGCACATTTTGCACCACATATGTGGCACATGCTAGACTTGTCTTTTCGAAGGGGAGGATCGATTCGCGAGGCCCGATTTAATTGTTCACCTTCGCGAACTGCTGCATATGACTCTTCCTCGCTCAATGTCCCCATGTGGCACCCGACTCATTCATATAATCACACGATGCTCCCTAGCAGTCGTCTTCTCTGATTTGTTTGTCCCACTGGGGTGGCGATTTCCAGCGCTGACGAGTGCGATCGTTTTTTTCTCCCCCGTGTCGTTTGTTAGCTTCCCGTCGTGATGTTGGCATGCGGTCGTTGTTGAATCTTCGTCCGCGTTCGTTGCGGGGTTCCTTGGGGGCCTTGGGAGCCTTACGGGTTGCCTTTTTCTCCCCTTGTTCGAGGCGCACAGAGGGCTTGTGTGAGGCGCACAGGAGAAGCGTTCGGGGTCTACGGCAGGTCCTTGCGGGTTCCCCCATTTGGGGGTCGCTTGGGCTCTTTTCGGGGCATCTCGAGGGTTTGTTTTCTGTCTTGGGGGCCTCGGGGGGCCATTTTGGGGCCCTCTTGGGCCGTCTCTGGGTCATATTGGGGCACATAGGGCCGCCTTGGGCCAGTCTGGGGGGGGGGGGGCTCTCGCGCCGTTTTGGTTTAGCAGACGTCCGTAAAGACGATAATCCAGAATCGTTCGGCAAACTCACAACACATCATTAATGTGTGCCTCTTGGGACCCTCGAGGGTCCTTCGGGGGCCGAGATGGTGCGATTCGGGATCTGCGGGGAGTCATTGGGGAAATGCTTGGATGAACCAACCCCAAGAATTAGCACCACCACGTGGTCCACCGTTTTAGAGCAATCAGTATTGGACGATTAACCCGATGGGCAATCATGCGTTTGGCAGGGTGGATGGCAGATGGCCCGATCGATTTCTGATGGACGTGGTCGGCAGTGGCAGGGAGGGAATTGGCATGGGGAGGTGGAAGGGCGGGAGGAGACGGATGATGATGACGATGATGATGATGATGATGATGATGATGATGATGATGATGATGATGACGATGATGAGGAGGCAAGGGCGTGGAGCCTTCCATTCTCCTCCCAGGGGGCGATCCTGGTGTATATTCTACGAGGAGATGAAGGAGTAGGGAGAGACGGGGGATGGAGAGTTGAGGAGCAGAGGATTGATTATTGTTCGGGTGATTGTCGTCCTTTGGTCTTGGAACGTGGATTGCGCGCGAGGAGGAAGAAGTGGACGTGTAGGTGCAGGCGAACGATGATCACGAGAGTGAAGATAGGGATGCAAGATTGGATGAATATGACGGTGATGATGATGATGATGATGATGATGATGATGATGATGATGATGATGATGTTAATACGGATGTTGATGATGATGATGATCATCATGATGATGATGCTGATGATGGTGCTGATGATGATGATGATGATGATGATGATGATGACGATGATGATGATGACGATGATGATCATGATCATGATCATGATTCTGTTTAGGATGATGGGGATTTGTTGTTGCGTACGTTAGAGCTCGAGCTGTGACGATTCAAAAGGCGGCAATACAAGATCACGTACCAGCGAGAGCTGTACTGGGCGAGGCGCGACTCCGGCAAGCAGTCCAGCCTATCTCACGAGCCTTGTCGCGATCAGCCAGATCAAGACGAGTAGCTGTGCTCTCAGCGAGGGGGCTGAGTGAAGCAAGGGAATCTCTGCAGCGCTTGGCCCTGTACGCCAGAAGGTCGATTGTAGCAGTACGTCAGAATACCTTCTTGCAGACTGGGTAAGAGGAGTCTTTGACATAATATCGTGCGTCGCTACCGACGGCGTGGGCACGAAACATATGACTATGGATGCCTCGGTTGCTGGTGCAGCAACGACGCCGCTCTGGAGGGCATCGCATGCACACGAGTGGGGCACTGGCCGAAGGAGCCGAGGCGATGGCGTCAAAGAACTCCGGGGCCACGTCCCGGGCACGCATTCTTGAGAAGCCCGGATCAATTTCTGACAAGGCGCGCTTCCACTCAAATGGTTTGGAAACCAGCTCAAGCCAAGGCCTCGAGTCTTGGCGTGGATTTGGCAGAGATCTCAGGGCGGGCGCTGTTTGCCAGGCCCACGTCAAATCCTCAGCCAAAGCCTCCGAAGCAGAAGACTGTCAAAACCGGAGGTCCATCAACATTCTCGGGGCGCTGTTTAGGGTCCTGAAAGCAGTGGCCAGGCGGCGCTGGAGGAGAATGTCAGTGGGGGGCTCCCCTACGTCGGCAAGCACGGAATTGTCTGTACCATAGCCTGTTGTTTCGAATCGGCAGCGGTCGCAGATCTGGCGATGCACGCGGAGGCGAGCATCGTTCAAAACCCGATTTGCGTCTGGGGTGGGCTCAACCCGTGTGTCTGTTCGAGACATCAGGCGGGAAAACAACACAAAGAACGGGCAAGGGAGAGCCTGGTATCACGTGATATCCTAGGGTTCCCGAACAGGGTGTACTCGTAGATAACGTTGAAGATCATTGCGCCAATCTTGCATCCCTGCCAGGCCCCCTTACGCGTGAGTACGACGAGGTCGTCCATATGCACCTGCCCTTTCTGGGCGGTGAGCCAAGTGTTCTCGTGTAAGTCATGGACCAGGCGAGCGGCGGCCTTAGGGGCACCGGCGTTCTCGAAAAGATTGGAGCCCGCGGCTAGAAAATCAACAACTCGATCTTGAACTTCCAGTGGGAACTCGAGCTCAATGAGCTTGTCGCGCACGGAAGCGGCACGAAGACTGGCTGGAACCATGGCAACTCTCGGCGCACGGTGTCGAAGGTTGCGGACAGGTCCACGTATATCCGAGAGAACCGAGAGACAGATTCCCGCTTGTGTCTGGTCACAGAGGAATGGAGTTCGGCAACGAGGCCTGCCGTGGTTGTCCTGCGGCCTCCGACAGCGCCGCACTGGGCGTCAGCGACGGCGCTCGGGTAGTGCGCGTCGAGCTCGTCTTTCAGGCCGGCCAGGATGATGGGGATGATGATGTTGCTGATGATGCTGATGATGATGATGATGATGATGATGATGATGTTGATGAGTCGGAGGAGGTGGAGGAGGAGGATATGGATGATGAGGAGTATCATGCTCTCGAATGTGCTACCCCCCCCATGGCCTACGGAAGCAGGATGGACATCATCCTTTCTGAAGACGATGGTATCGATTATACATGGCAACGAACCTGATGATACTAACGATGCTGCTCCTAGTGAGGCTGCTGATGATGTTGATTGTGTTGGTGATGGTGAGGGTACATATGTGATGATGACGATGCGTATGATAATATATAATGATGAGACTGATGACAATGCTGAGGATGACGCTGACGATAGAGATGTTGACGATGAGAGCGATGATGCTTACGGTGCTGATGATGGTCGTGTTGGTGGTGGTGACGATGATGATGACGATGATGATGATGTTGTTGATGATGATGCTGATGGTGATGCTGATGACGGCGACGGCTATGATTATTATCTTGTTGTTGACGACGATGATGATTGTCGGGGGGATGCTGATGATGATGATGACGACGATGGTGATGCTGCTGTTACTCTTGATGATGATTATGATAATGGCGATACGGCTGATGATGATGCTGATGAGAGTGATAATGATGATGATTATGGAGACGATGACAAGGACGTGCATGAGGAGAAGGACGACGACAATAGTCGTGACGAAACATGTCAGTTCATCCTAAGTATGGTGCATGTGGTGGCTATGATGATGGGGTGTGGTGAGTGACGGGGGGGATGAGAAGGAGGAACAGGAGCATTACGACCAGGAGGAGGAAGAGATGAGGTTCAGGAGCACAATGCAGGAGGACGGAGGAGTATTGGGAGGCTGAGGAGAATGAGGCGGACGTCGTGGCGAGAAGTGACTGCGGGGGCCGCACTCTAGTGCGAGATCGAGAGAGCCAGCGACCACGACGGCAAGCCACACATTGAACCCCGAACGGCCGGACACGAGGGGGTCAGACTGCCGAGCGTGAGCAAGCCTACCGGAGACCGCCGGCCGCTGGCCTCCTGGGCTGGCCTCGGTGCCCACTCCGCGCAGACATGGCCCGCTCCCGCAGCGTGCTGCCCCTCGCGCTGGCCCTGGCCCTCCTGAGCGGCGTGGCCTGGCAGCTGGCGCGGGCCCCAGGGCCTGGCACGCCGCCCTGTGCCACCCTTCGGGTGTGATCCTCGTGACGGTCGGAATGGGTGCGCGAAAGAAGGGGTACGAAGACCAACAGCAGTTTTTGTCCGTCTTGAACCGGGTCGGCTGTTGGTGCCGCCGCGGGCCTTGTTCATTTGAGTAAGGCCGCATGCCCATCAGCGGACGCTGTCGGTTTTGGTTAACGTAGTTGGGCATCGATTTTTTCCGTACAGTACCCACTTCGGGCGTCCAGAGATACGGGGGAGGGATGAGGGGGGATGGTTTGAGTTTTCGGCTTGCGTGTTTGGCGAGCTTTGTGGGAAACCGTGTGACGGCTGAGCTTCCTCACGAGTTGCTTCACGCTTCACAAGCGGATGCGTGTTAATGTTGTTGGCGACGGTGGGTGGGCTGATTGTTGTGACAACGATGCGGCAACCCACGGAGCAGTGATAATTTGGCAGTGAGTTGTGATGATATATTTCTGATACCTGTCCCACGATCCACAATCCACCTATCCTATTTGAGAGCTTCGCCCTCTGCTGCCGGCCCCCGCTCAGATTGTTCGCATGGCCGCGCTTAGTCGGTATGTTGGTTAGTTTCCTTGTCGATTGGGTGTCTTGGCAGCTAGGCTGATTGGCTTGTTGTCGAACTTGACGGTGTCAGTTGGTTGGCTGGTCGCTGGTTGGCACGTTGCGCGCATCTGTAGTATTCAACAAGAGATGTTTCGAGACGCCTGGTCGAGCCGTCGGTGGCATCGGTGCCAAAACAGCTTGCCAGGAAGACGGGGGGGGCGAGAAAGAGGGAGGATGAGTTTGAGAAAGAGGAGTAGCAGGATGAGAGAAGGAGGTCGAGAAGGAGGAGTTGGCGAAAGATGAAAGGGGTGAGAAGGAGGAGAAAGGGGAGGAACATGGCGAGAAAGGAGCCCCTCCCCTCACAGCGAACATGTTCCCCCGCCCGCCTGCAGCTGAGGCGCCTGCGTTCGCTGGCCCTCCCCGCGCTCCTGCGGCGCAGGCGACAGCCTCAGCCATGGGGCGGGCCTGGCCCCCGCCCCTCCCCCTTCCCCTCTCCCTGCCCTCTCGCCCCCATCCCTCCGCCTTGCTACAGGGCTGGTTTCGCGCGTTCGGCCCCGCTCGAACATCTCAAGAAGAGAAAGACCAGGGGCACGGGCGGCACCAACTTCCGTAGCGCAGAACGGGCCCTCTTGAACCAGCTCTTGTTGCCGCTCCCGATCTTGTTCCCCCGTCCTGCCCCGCCCCCCTCACCTCCGTCCCTCCCTCCTCCCTCCGCCTCCCCTCCTTCCACTACTATTCAGTGTGAGTGCTATTCTCTTCTCTCCCCTGATACCGTCCTGTGAGGGGGCTGCATCTCCAACATGTTGTTCCCACGAGCAGGATTCAAAACATGGATATTCCCAAAAACAGTGTTAGCATGCGTGGATTCTTGCCCACGTAGTTGGCATGCGGCTCTGTTTGTTTCTCGCTGTGGCCGCCTCGTGGGCGCCTAGTTCGGTGGTGTTCGGTTCCAAGTGTTTTGCCTGGTGGCCGCCTGCCGGTGACTCGTGGACACCTCGTGGGCGCAGAGTGCGAGGTTTTCGCTTGGTTACCGCCCGTTGCCGCCTCGTGAGCGCCTCAATCGTTGGCTGCACCACATCGCTTGCCCCGGACAACTTCCGCCGCATTGTTTGCGCCACATAAAAGCACGATATAGCTGGCGCCACACTGCTTGCACCACGTTGGCTTCAACCCATAGCTTGCATAACTGCTTGCCCTATCCACCACATGCCTTGTACCACATATATTTTCCGTCCCAAAGAATTGCAGGATCCACCCCCCTCCCGAGTCTGGACGTGATCGTTCATCTGTTTGTTTTGCAAAGCACATCTGGTTCCGCCTGACCGTTCATTTTTCATTCGACGTCATGCCGTCCAAGGCGAGCGGGTACCGACCCCCCATCAGCCGTGTCAAAACATACCATGCGCGCGTGCATCTATCTCAGACATATACGTTATATGCAGATCTTACAATCTATACCACCATGTCAGATTGCGCTCAAACGTGCCGACATCACTCCAGTCACCGTAGTTTTGCTAGCATTTCAGCATACATCCTCAAGCGCCAATGTTTGTCCGACGAACATAGTGCATCTGTTTTGCCCGCGAGCATTTTCTGGAGTCACCAGTTTAATTGTCATTGTGTTTATGTGCACTTTCTGGTCTCTGCTAGTGCCGCTGCTGCTCTTACCCCTCGTGCCCGTCATACCTGTTGTGGCTCGGGCGGGCCCCTTTGTAGCTGCTACGCAGACTAATACATCATTGCGTCGCGAGACGGTCGCGGAACAATTTACACGAGTCATCAGCGCCTCCGTTGTGCGCTGCATCGGCAGCAGAGCGTGTTTCCGAATTCCCAAGCACCGAGACGCCCTCGGCGACGACATACGCCTGCTGGACACTCCAGTGCTGAGCCGGACAGATCCGACACGTTCCTGATCGTGGATTCGTCACACGACGGTTGCCCAGAGGGCTGCCAGGGTTCTCGAGGCGACGATAAGGCGATGACGAACGACCCCAGGAGGAAACGCCGCCGAACCGGAAGAGGCTCAGCGTCAAGACGCCGAGCCGGACGATGAAGATGACGATTCGCTACCACACTATTGAGCTGACAGCCAGGATGACTGTCACGACGAATGCCTACGGCGAGACACCGTCGGAGGTGCTACCGAGCTCGACGGAGTTTCGACGAACCGGTTGAGGAGAACGCAAGAAGTTGTGCCAGACAATCTTTTCAAGTGGCCCCACTCTTTTGACGAAGCCGAGGAGGTGATAACTTAGGTGAAGCGAGCTGATGGCTACGCCGAATATGTCGGCATTCTCCGAGAGCCCCCCCGAGGCTCCGCGGCGGGGCAAGGCCCGCGCGGCAGACGCGGTGAACGAGGGCTTCGGGGCAGTCATCACGGACGGCGGCGTCGAGGAGAAGGGCCGAGGCGGCCGAGGAGGAGGGGGGGGTCCAGGACCAGGCCGAGCAGGCGAAGGTCGATAAGAAGGGTTTCCTGGAGCATTTCTCAGGGAGCGAGAATCTTTCGAGCGCGGTCCGAGAGGTGCCGGGGTCGTGGGCGGACCCCGGGAACATCGAGAGGGGCTCGTCATAGGACGTGCTGCAGCCCGTGAACCTGGCCAGGTTCCTGGAGCAGTTCAGGTCAGGAGCGTACTGGGTGGTTCACTTAGCTCCGTCATGCGCTGCGTTCTCCCGGGCCACGATGCCGACGTTGAGATCTCGAGCGGCCCCTTCATGGGCTAGCCAGCCTCTCCCAGAGTTGCCGCCAACAGGTTTTGGTTGGCAGCGCTCTTTGCCGCATCGCACTGGGGGCGGCGCTCGAGCGCTTGCGGCCCGGGGCCCCTTCGTGTTGGAGAACCCGCTGAGCTCCCTCATGTGGGCGCGCCCGCCCGCGATGGCCCTCTTGCAGAGGGCGGGCGTCGCCTCGGTCGGCTTTGGCGTCTGCCAGTTCGGGGGGCCGTGGCAGAGGCCGGCCCGCCTGATCGGGAACTTCGGGGAGCCAGCGGCCGCGGGGCGGCGCTGCACGGGTCGAGCGGGCAGATGTTCGATGGCGGAGCTGCCGCGCCGAGAGCCGAGAGGTCGGCGCGAGAACGGAGAGCTCTGGACGGAGATCGCGCGCCCGTGCCCGAAGGACCTCTGCCGCCAGCGCGCGGCGGTCGCAGCTCAGTTCTACAGGCGCAGCCCAGAGAAGCCCTTGACAGCAGGCGCGCGGTAGGGTTTATCTCGCCATGGTCGATCGTCGATCAGCCCCAGCGCAAGCAGTTCCGCTGGCGGTTGGATCAGCTTTCGCGCCGGCGGAGAGGCGGGGCCCCCTGTTCAGCGGGAAGCGGGGCAGGCTGGAGCGCGACAATCTGCTGGAGTCCAGGGGCGCGGTGATGGTCGCGGGTGGGGCACTTGGGGAGGGGGCGCCCAAAGCGCGGAACCACCGAGTGCCCATCTACACCGACCCCCTCGTCGCTCTCGGGGCCGTGTCGAGGAGCCGCTCGAAAGCGCGCGAGATCCTGAGGCTCTGCAGGGCGGCAGCCGCCATCGCCATGACCGCGGGCTTCGAGCCCCATTTCAAACGGGCGCCGAGCGAGTTCAACCACCCCGACGGACCATCGAGAGGGATGCCGAGCGGGGTCGACGCGAAGACTTCTCAGGCGCATTCGGGCAGGATGATTCCCCGCTCTTTGCGCTCCGTTCTCAAGTCAGTGAGGGCGCCTGGCGAACGTCGACGACGTGGGTGAGATGGCTTTGTGTGTTTCATGGTTTGGGCCCCCTCTCGATGGCCGCTGAAGCCATGGGGGGATCGGGCGCGGAGAAGCCATTTCGCGGTCGGCCGAGGGCGCCGCCTCCACCGCTGCAGAAGAGACGGGCCCCAGCCTGGGTCAATGTAAGTGGGGGTGGGGTTGGGGGGGGGGCGTTGAACAACCGACTGACTGCTCGTGCCGTTGATGACGTTGCGAATCTAAAGTGCGAGGTCGAAGTCCGCTTTTTTTTTGTGACATGCAGCGCTCGGGCCCCCTTTTTAGCGCAGTGGCCAAGAGGGATCTGGCTCTGGCGAGGTGTCTGAAAGACGTGTGTTACATCGGCAATGCTCAGTATACGAAGGGTTCATGCGTCTCCCATGGTTCCCGCCATATCTGTGAAGATCACAGGGAGAGGTTGCCGATCGCGCATCGTGCTCTTCAAGCCTGGTCGCGGTTCCAGCAGATCAAAGAAGGTGCGCTAGTTCCCAAGGAGGGCATCGCGCGCGCCATCCTGGCCCTTCTCGTGAAGGGCCTCGCGATGGAAGCCGTCGCCGCCCACCTGACCTTCGACTGGCGGCTTTGCGAGCTGGGCTGGGCGCAACTGCGCGCGGGGCACTGCGCGGAGAGCCGCCGCGGCAGCTCCTCTTTCCATTTGGGGGAGGCGCCGAGGGGGGGCAAGTCAAGACGGGGTCTGGCCAAGGAGTTGTCTCAGAGATGAGTTCGGCAAAAGCCTTGATGGGGGGTATTTTGCGATGGCTGGGCCCCGAGGATCAGTGTTTTTTTTCTTTTTCTCCAGGCCCCCCACCGTCGAACCTGGCGGGGGGCCCGTTGGATTGCGAAGGCCTTGCGGCCGGCGCCGCCGACCCCGAGATCGACGAAGATGAAAGCGATGGGAAGCAGGGGGGGGGGGTGAATCGGAGGTGGAGAGAATTCTGTTGGAGGTTTCTCTGGGTATTTCGGGGCGACATTGGGGGCCTGTGGGGTTGTTTGGGAGCTTCGGGGAGCGAGAGAAACGAGAACTCAAGGATCTGCGGAAAACGGATGATAATCTATGGATTCTGCTTGTTTGGGCCTTCGTGGGATAGCGCCTGGAGGCATTTTGCACCGCATTGCAGGCCTATGGTGCCGTCCAGAGGCTGCGAAGGCGTCTTGCAGATATCGTTCGGCGATTCAACGCTTTCTTGAACTGTCTTGAAGTCGTCTCGGAGCCATCTTCGCTCGTCCAGGGGCCTTTTTGAGCTCCGGGACCCGTCCCTGGAGGGGTACGACGGCGGCGGTAGTGACGACGACGCTGATGCGGGTTGAGTCTTCAGGGTTGTTTCTTGGGGTCTCTTCCGAGCGCTCTCGAAGGCCTCTGGGGGGTAGTTTGGGGGCCCCTTGGGACCCTCTTGGGGCCTCTTGGGGTTTCTTCGGGGCCTCTTGGGGGCCTCTTGGGGCTGAGGGCTCGAAGTGTCAGTTCGGGTCCCCCGTTTGGGCACTCTCCTGGAGCCGTCTTGGGGGCCTATTGGGCCGTTTTGGAGGCGTCTTGGGCCGTCTTGGGGCCCTCTTCGGCCGTTTGGGGTCCCTCTTGGGGGCCTCTTGGGCCGTCTCGGGGCGATCTGGAGGGCCTCTTGGGCCGTCTCGGCGCGTCAGGAAACGGAAGAGGCAAGAAACAAAAACGCCAAAATCTTTCAAACACGCGTGGGAAATCCATGAGTTTTGCCTCTTGGGGCTCTCATGGGAAAGCTCCTGGAGGCCTCCTGGGGCGCTTTGCAGGCCTCCTGGGCCGTCTGGAGACCGCCAAGGGGTCTTGGACAAATCGTTCGGCGATTCGGGGCTCTCTTGGACCGTCTTAGGGCCTCTTGGGGCACTGTTGGCCCGTCGTCCGTGCTTTTTTGGGTTCGGGGGCTCCCCGGGAGGGCGTCGCATCGGAACCGACCCCCCCGGGCCCCCCCCTCGGGGATCCCCGCCCCCAGCGGGGGAGGGATCGAAGGGAAGGGGCTTCCCTTCGACTCGATTGCGACATTGCTCAACTTCGCTTTGGCTGGCGCGTGGAGGGGGTCCCTGGGAAAGGGGGGGGGGGTTCGACGAGCCCTGGGAAAGGGGGAGGCAGGGAAAAGGGACGACAGAGACGACGACCAACGAATGAAGGAGATGACGACTTGGACGGACAAGCCCCTCACACACGCCGACAGGGTCGGCGGATTTGAGGTTGGAAGCTCTTGGTTCTGCCCGCGGGCTTCGACGCGCTGGCGCCTCTCACTTCCTGGGAGAGGGCGGCAGCGTGGAAATTGCCCGTAGACGTGGCCGTCGGCAGTCAGCCAGCTCACTGCAGCATTATACTAAAGGCCGCGTGCTGATTGAGCAGAGGTCGAGGCTACCACGAGATATTTCGCGTCGGGGGCAGATCTTCTGGCGCGCGCCTGCCAGTGCCTGGATCACTAAGTGCGTTTCTGTCTTCGCCTGTGGCCTCTCGGCCCGTTTGTCGTGATCTAATTCGCCAGTTGGAGATTTGCGCTGCTGACGAGCTTTACCCCCCGCATTACAGAAGGCGGTCGAGGAACCCATGAGGACAAAACCCAGTTTTCCCAAGAGGGATCGTTCGCGAGCCCGTCGAGTGCTCACTAACGACTTGCTCTTTGTGTTTGCAAGGTCGGCGTTCGGCCGGCACATACTTACTGGTGTTCGCGTTTCGGTTCGTGCTCTCCGGTGCTCGCTGGCAGCGTGGTACATCGGAGCTGCCAGGTCATGCACCTAGCTCTGTGTTTTGTATTCTCGCGTGCTGGGTAAAGATCGAGGCAAGCAGCCTCCCACCTTGTGCTGAGAACATGTTTGGGCCGTCGCCTCATCGTCCGTCTGGCTCTCCTCCCTCTTCCTCGCCTCCTCCCCTCCTGCATTGAAGTATAGAATTTCGTGCGAGCGCGCCAAAGTCTGGACAGGTCTGTGGCGTGCCGGTCGATGAGACGCATTTGGCTTCCAGAGATGGGTAGGTCGCCGCACCGCCAAGTACGGCCGTGTGCGTGGATTTGCCACTGCGCGAGAAGAGAATCACCACCCACCAAACCACCCCAACCCAACCCGAAGGCTCAGATTTACCCTCGATTTCTAGTGGGGGGGGGTCCGGGAACATCGAAAAAACACATATGGAGCCCATACCCCCCCAACCCGAAATTCGGGTCTTCGGGTTGGGTTGGGGTGGTCTGGTAGGTAGTCAGAGAAGAATACTGTATCGGGTGCGGACCTCCTGTTCGCGTTCGCGGTGGTGGTCGCCGCCACCGGCGTCTGCTCGCCGATGGCGGGCCCGCGCCTTTTGGCGGTGGCACTGGCAGGAGCGCGGGACGGGGCAGCGATGGGGCGAGTTGGCCGTGACGGCGCGCTATATCAAGGAGGGCACCCTGGTGGGGCCATGAGCAAGCAAACGCGAGGCAATGCAAATGTGGCGGATGGCGGTGGCGAAGACGGCGAGGACACCTAAGCAAGGGTTTCTGCGCGAGCCTGCGCAGTCGGGCCCCGCGGAGTTCACGCGGGTGGAGCGTGGAAAATTCTGCGCACTTGCTCGCGCGCATCCCCTACTGCAGACACCTGTTTGGTTTCGCTTCGGACTGCCTCCTCTGGAGGAGGGGCGTGCGACCCCCGCTGACAGACCCGCACTGGCGTTTTCGACACAGAGGGCACGGCTGACGGCGACTAGTCCGCTGTCGGCGCCAGTGCAGGCGCCTCGCTGCCGCAGGCTGACCGCGCGCAGCGCCTTGGAGGCCGGAGGCCGAGAGCGAAGGGTCGTGGAGCCGGGCGCCACGCTCTGGACCAGCTTGCGGCTTCCACGCTTCAAGCCGGTGGTTCAAGATCAGCCATGCGCACAGGGGGCCAGGGGGAGGGGGGAAGGCTTCTTAGAAGCACCCCTGCTTCTTAGAAGGCGCAAGTCAATCCATCGCTTTTTGGCCCGCGCCTCCTAAGAAGCAGCCTCCTTGTAAGAAGCTGTTCCCCCTCCCCCTATCCCCTTGTGCGCGACGCTCACACAAGATGGGGTCCTGAGGGGTGTGGTCCTAAGGACGAGGTACTTCAGACAGTGCAAATCCACCCTTGGATCCGTTCGTATCCTTGGGACCCCATCTATCAGGACCCCATGTCTGAGCCACTGATCGAGGGCGGGCTTCCGCCTGGGTCCCTCCAGGCCAGGCTGCATGCTCTGTGCCAGCGGCCGCCAGCGCGCCGTTGATTGGTTGGGCAAGCTGTGGCTGTCCCTCGAGCAGTGGCGAAGCGCCCAGGCTTGTCTGTAGTCGGGGGAGGAGAAATACAGGTACCGCACCTCGGTCTGGACTTCCCTCGTCGCCACGGCTGGGTTCTGCTTTAAATTATGGTCAGATAGAACCTCGGAAGAGGTCTGGAGAGCAGCGGTATCGGTGCCTTTTTGTTCCCTCGTGTTGGCCCACTAGAGCGTGCTCTAACGACCCCTTGTGGTCTGCACAAAATGTTCTTAGAGAACAGTTCTGGTTGAGACAGCCTTGTAGTAGTACGTCGGGTTTATGCCCTGAGAATATTGTTTTGGTTTTGAGAGCATCCGTTCGTTTTGAGAAAACCCACACAGGCGGCCCTGGCCCAATGACCTCACAAGGTTCTGGGTCACCGCGGCGTCATCGGGCATGGCATGGCGAAACATCGCCTTCCTCTCCACCGCGATCTCCTGCGGAGTCCATGCCGTCTCAGTTCGGACATCTGGCCACGAGAGTCATCATGGGGACCAGCGAGGCCAGTAGTACTGATCTGAATGTTTTCGGTGTGACTGATCCTGGCTTCACCAGTCCTACTGTTGACTCTGAAGGACCAGGTCGCTGGGTTGAATCGACCTGAGGTCCGTGCCGCAGCGGTTACGACTCTTACCAAAAATTCCCCTTCCCTAGGTCACCTGCAGGGTAGACCGCTGAATTGAATCAACCGTAGGTCCGTGCTGCAGGGCTTACGACCTTTATCAAGCATCACCCTCCCTCAGGACACCCGCATGGGCGAAAAGATAATCGCGCTTCTTGCGTCGCGGCCTGGACTAGAGAATCGTTCTTGCCTAGGGGCGGCGTCAGACCGTGAAGACAATCGCGCTTCAAGCATCTCGCAGTGCGAACCGCGCAGTGACGTGACCTCCCTCACCCCTGCACCGCCATCCCTGACCCACGCTGTCCGCGAAGACGCCAGGCTGGCAAGACGATGCACCAGCGATGGGACACAGGCCCAACGCCGTCCTGCGCAGGAGGCGCTCCCCGCATGCGCGTCGAGCGGTGTCGGCGCCCGTCCTGTCTTGGACGCCTCCTGAAGCCCCCCAGGCGTGATAACACATCTGCAGGTGTGGAGCCCAAGCCATTTGGTACGAGCTATGTCGCTCAAGCCATGTCCTGCAATAGTTGTGGTGGAAGCTATGTGGCGCAACCTGTGTGGTACAAGCTGTGTTGTGCGGGCAATGTGGTGCAGGCCTATGCGATGCGATCTATGTGGTGCAATCCATGCCGTGCGTGCAGCATGGTGCAGCCAGCACGCGAGGCGGCTACGAGCAGCCAGCACACGAGGTGCCCACGAAGCGTCGACAGGGTGGCCAGGCGGAAACTCGGAAACCCATGCCAGGTCACGAGGCGCCCTCGAGGCGCCCACGGGCAGACATTGGGCGAAAGCACAGAACCCTTGGCCATTTATTAGACGCCATGCAAGAAGCCGTACGTACGTGCAAGCATTGTTTGGGGAATGTGCTTCGATTCTCATACCTCGATCACCTCGTGCCGACCGACATGGGATGGAGACCGATGGAGACCGACAGCAGTCTTTTTCCAGCTTGGAAACGTCGCAGCTGGTGCTGCCGCGAACGTCGTCCATTTGGAACGACCGCCCTCTGCCCGAAGGCGGTGGACACCATTCGCAGTGTGGCATCGTCACCATCTTGTCAGTCTCCAATCTCGGGCGTCCCGAACCTCGGCGGCGCGCCGCGGAGAAAGGGTCGGATCAGTATTCCGTGTCTCCTAATAAGTGGTGTGTGTGTGTCTTCTGAGAAGTTTCTGAGTCGTCTGGGAAGTTTTCTGCGTCTTCGGAGAAGGCTCCCAGAGAAGCCCCGCCGCCTTTGAGAAGCCCCGCCGCCTTCTGAGGAGGCATGCCCCCTCTCCACTCTCCCCCTGGCTCGCCGCCAAAACCCAGCACCCCATCGCCAGGAGTCCGCCTCATTTCGCTCGAGTTTCATTTCGTCCGCTTGATTTCGTCCGCTTCGATTCCTTGGCTTCGATTCGTCCAGTTTCGATTCGTCCGGGATTCGAGAGAGGACGAGCCGTGAGCGGACGAAACGAAAGAGGACGAATCGAAAGAGCGGACGCCATGACAGTCCACACCCCCCGTCATGAGGTCGACGCTCGCCTCGCGGCCGCGATCTCGGCCGGCCTGCTGCCCCTCGCGGTGGAGCAGCCGGCGGGCGCCTACGACAGCGTCGTGGCTCGCGCCCGGGGGGGGGGGCAGGGCGGCGCGGGCGCTCCCGCTCGGAGGGGCGGCTCCCGCCGCCAGTGTGCAGTGCTTCAGAGGATGGGGAAGGAAAGTTCTGGTGCCGCTGCACGCCCAACTCGGGGAGGGATTTCCTCAATTTATCGTCCTCCTCCTCCTCCTCCCCCTCCTCCTCCTCCTCCTCCTCCTCCTCCTCCTCCTCCTCCTCCTCCTCCTCCTCCTCCTCCTCCCTCCTCCTCCCCTCGGTTTCCCCGTTGTAGGGCCTCCTGGATTTCCCTCGTCGCCACGGCTGGGCTCGCCTCGAAATCCTGTCCAGAACGCAACCCAGGAGAGGTCGGAGGACCATCTAGCGGTATTGGTACCTTTTGGTTTCCCCAAGTCTGGGTGCGACCGTAGAGGGACAACAAAGTACACCTTAGGCGATGCTTAAGAAAACTTAAGATTTCGGCCATGGTCTCGATTATTCTTAACGTTTCAATGTAAATCTTAATATTTTAATAGAAAGGTTGGGTTTTTGTTCAAATTCTGAGACTATGAATTTCTTAACCCATGATTTCTTAAGCATTTCGCAGGGTGTACAGCCCCTGGTTCTGGCCCCCCCCCCATCACCCCAGATCCAAAGCTGGTCTTGGGTATTCGGCGGCACATGCGTGAGAGGGCAGGGAAGGTGGACTCCCAGTGCCCGCGCGAGTGCAGAGCCAACTTTGAATTGGGGGGAAGGGGGGGATGGGGCAAGCAGTTGGTCGAACACGAGTGGGGTCTACCTTTCTGTCTTTCTGCCGGAGATCTGCGGTCTCGCTCTCAATTCGATTCTTCTTTCGAAGAATTATGTAGCAAATCATGGGAGCCCTGTGAACCCACGCAATTCCGTCTTTGAAATGCATTCGCGTCGATTTAGCGTCTGGTAATCGATGAGATAGCGCCGACTTAGCCTCGATTAGCGTCGATTTGGTGTCGATGTAGTGCTGATTCGCAAGAGCCAACGAGACGGTATGGGAGGCTCCCAGGAGCTGCTGCAGAAGAAAGTCGCAAGAGCACATCCACAAGTTCCGCTCCGGAGCCGTACCCCCAGGGCCTCGGGGAGCAGCGGACGGAGAGGGCTTCGAAGAAGCCCCCGACGGGGTCGACGCCTCGCCCTCGGCGGAAGGCCAGCGGAGGACGGCGGAAGCAAGGCGATGGCGGCTCCGCCGGCGGAAGGTTTGCGGACGCGGGTGGAAGCGAAGAAGATGCGCTCCACGGGATGTCACCGTGTGTGGGATTCGGGGGTGCTCTCGAGGGGGCCATGTGGACGTCTGCCAGAGCCCTTGAAGCAGGACTCGGCCTTCTCTTTCCTGTTCTCTGCTCCCTCCCCGTCTCTTCCTCATTTCCTCTCCTCTCCTCCTCCCCCTCCTCCTCCTCCTAGCCTCTTCTCCTTACTATCTCTCTTCGTCTCTCTCTCTGTCGGTGTATGCTTTGCTACGCGTTCCCGACGAATCGCTCCAGGTATGCCTGTTCCTTCTCTTCTCTTCCATCCTTTCTCCCTGTCCCTCGTCTCTCGTCCCTCCTCCTCCCCTCCTTTGTTCCCGTTCCCTGTTCCCTCCTCCTACTTCCCTCTTCTGTCCTTTCCCCTCCCTTTCCCGCGCATCCGAAATATGTATATTCGTGACACGAGCCCCCAGCCCTCTAGGTCGCATCTTTGGGACGGGTGTTTCATGCTGTGCAGTTTCCCCCCTGGGACCCGAAGCAGCCCTCCAAAGGTCCACGCTCAGGGAAAACTGGCCGTCCCGATCTTTCCGGGACGCCGGAGGTTTGGGTCTTCCTCTCTCCTGCCATCCGCTGCTCCTTCATCGCTGCCGCGACGGCGCCCCCTGGAGGCCATGCTGCAGAGCTGGCTTGTTGGGGGCACCGTGCCTCGCCTAGCGGCCGCCGTCGGGTCAGGGTGGCTGGCAGGCCACCCGTGGCCCGAAAGGGCGGGGGATCGGGAGGGGGGGGGGGCAGGAAGGGAACGCCTCGGCCCCCGATCAGCATGACTGAGAGAGGTAGGACATAACTGGTATTGCTCGCCCGATGTGCTACTTGCTGTAGCGGCTGGAGAACAGGGTATGGCTCGAAGGAATCCCCACAAGAGTTTCAGGTGTTCTCCTCTGCGCGCTGATGTCTCAGAGGAGCCATGATGAGTTGTTCTCTCCGGCCCAGTGTGGGTTCGCCGGAGCTGGCGCTACCTTTCAAGGCTACAACCAGGAGACCTTGATTTCGAGCTTCTGAAACGGCATCGCGTGTGCCAAACGAGGGGACAACCGACGGAGTCAGGGACTCAGCCGCAGTGGGCAGCACGCTTCGCCCCCGTGATTCGCGCTGCAGTGGATGGCACATGAAGAACAATAGGGCAAGGGGCAGGCCTCTCCCTCCCTCCTCCCTCCCCTCCCCCGCCTTCCCTCCTCCCACTCCGCTTCTGCCTCCCGCTCCGTCCTCTTCGTGGAAAATCCAGGTCCATCAAAGCAGTGCTGCTGCAACGATCTTGTCTTAAAGGAGAGCCAAGGCAACCTACTCATTGCCACCCCCACATCTCTGTCCCTAAGATACGCGTCCATGCGTGCACGCCCTCCTTGAGCCTAGCCTGGGTGGGGGGCGAGGCTGGTGGGCACTAGCAGAGTTGTGCTCCTTGTCCATGTTGGGGGAACGTTTGGCTGGTGAGCTTCCCTGATGATGTAGGCCAAAACGCGTGCACAGCACATGTGGTACGGTGTGGTGGCATGGGATGTGGGTACGGCATGCCTACACATTGTAGCTGTGACGCTCGCGGTGCTGCAGCAAAGAAGAGGCTGTTGGTTTCATCGGTAAGCTGTTGTTGGAACATTGTTGATGCTATTCATGTTACCACTATGGCTCGACGCATTCGCGTGAGGCTGGAGTGTGTAGTGGTTACTGGCTAGGTTGCGCCTGTCTGTGCAACAGTTGAGGCATTGAGAAGGGGGTGGGGGAGGAGGGGGAGAAAGAAGAGAGGAGCTTGAGGAGGAGGGGGACGAGCTTTGGTCTAAGAGTGAGTCGTGGCAGACCTCGTTTCATGGAGGAGGTACCATTCGTGCTGACTGCCCCCACCCCAGCGTGGTTGGGGGACTCGACACGAGAAGGTGGGCGGAGGAGCTGGAGGACCCCGGCCCCCTCCCCAGCACGAGCAAGTGGGTGCCACTTTCCTGGCAATGCCCAGCTGAGTTGATCCCAGGCGCGAAGACCTCAGCATCGAAGAGACGGGTCCTACATCATGTGAGGAGGATGAAGGGGGTAATGTTCGGTGTTCACAGCTGTTGAGAGCAATGCGTTCCCCGTCTTTTTAGCGGAGCTACAAAGTGCCAAAGTCACTGCCCTGCCGAGAGCAATTAGAGCCAATTGTGGGTCGCGGCAGGCTCCGCTCAAAGAGGGGGGTGGTAAGTGCCGACTACCCCCACCCGAGGGTGGGGGTGGACCAGACACGGGGGAGGTGGAGGAGTTCGAGGACCCTGACTCTTGCTCGAGCGAGTCAAGCATGGCATGCCCAGTCCCACCCGCCCTCCCACAACATAAGAAGCAAAGCTGGCACAACTGGGGGCCGAAGTCACACCGGCCAGCCGGTTTGGTACAGCTGATGCGGCCGCGATGGCGGTTGCCGACGGGAACTGGCGAGCGCGTGTTGAATGCCGCGCACGCATTGCCAGACGAGTCGAGAATGGCCCGGTACACCGCAGGAAGCCAGAGGTGGCCGGAGGAAGCCCGACGGTCTGACAGGACACCCCAAAGCATTTTTGTGAAAAAGCATTGGGTTTTTGATGTTTTTATGTTGAAATGCTTGCAAACACACGGTGTTCGGTAGGATTCTGACATGAACGCGCGAGTGTGCTCTTTGTGGTATTTTTTGCACAGGATTCGCGGCCTGGGTGCATGACAGAGCATCGCGAGTGCACCGCGCGATGACGTGAAATCGCTGGATTTGACAGAATTCTTAAGATTCCTATGGTTTTCCTATGATTTCAGCAAGAGAGCCCGGGCGGGAAATTTGTACAATTTTTGTGAAAAAGCATTGGGTTTTTGATGTTTTTATGTTGAAATGCTTGCAAACACACGGTGTTCGGTAGGATTCTGACATGAACGCGCGCGTGTGCTCTTTGTGGTATTTTTTGCAATGGATTATCGCCGTGGACGACAGGACGTCCATGTCGAGAGGAAAAAATAAGAAAAATGTTGATTTTGTATTGTTTTTTACCGGTTAGGATGGGACCACCCGGATGCGCCCGCTATCTGCCGGCCTGAGGGGGGAGTAGGAGTATATTCTAATAAGGAATAAGGATAGGAGAGGGGGAGGAGGAGAAGGAGGAGGAGGAGGAAGAGGAGCAGGAGCAGGGGCAGGGGCAACCAATGGCCTCAGCCGCAGCGGCGTCTCCACCCGGTCACGAACTCTTTAGTCAAAACGTTGCTTGCCAGTGCCAGGGGTGGGCCGCCGCTTGGCCCTGGAGGAGCAGCAGGAGGAGGCGGAGGAGGAGGAGGAGGAAAGGGAGGAGGAGAGAAGGAGGAGAGACGGAGGAGGAAAAGGAGGAGGAGGAGGAGGAGGAGAAAGTGAGGAGGAGGAGGAGGAGGAGGAAAGGGAGGAGGAGGAGAGAAGGAGGAGGGGGAGGCTGGGACGGGCGGTCTTCAATGCATCGCCAGGCCATGCCCTGGCCATGCCATGCCGTGGCAGAGCCCCGGTCTGTCGGCGGCCCCGCCCCAGGCCGCTGGGTTGTAAGACAAACGGACCAGCCTGGCACCTGCTGAGCACCTGCGGAAGCTCGCAGCCGCTTTTTGGCCGCCAGGCCGCCCCATTCATCTTCGGGACGATCGACAGGGGTACAACAGACTGACAGCAGTGCCCCTTCGTTTTGAACGGGACTCGCCGTCGGTGTCGCCGCGGAGTTTGTCCATTTGAGACAGGAGGCCGCCAGCACGACAGCCGCCGCTGTTGGCTTCGGACAACCTTTGTTGTTGGGCATCGTACCCATTTTACCCGCACTTATTTCGGGCGTCCAAATCCCCTTTCTTCCCGTCCTCCTTGTTTGTGGTCGCCGCCCTCCTCCCTCTCGGGTTTCAAGCTTTCTCTGCAGTCCGCTGCATGAGACGTGCTCAGGATATCCATCCTTGCCTCACCGGGCTGCGTTCTGAAGCGAAGTGGCAGATGCTGACGCTGGCGAATCACTACAAGAAGGTGCGCTGTAGTATTTAGCACAATCCGCCAGGCCTCCGACGCGAGCAAGAGAGCCGCCTCGAATAGTCTTCTCGCAAGCCCGCTTGCTCGGGAACGCCAGGGCCGACACGGCTAGAATGAGGAAGAGTTGCTGGAAGGAGGAGGAGGAGGAGGCGGATGAAAAGGAATGAAGAGGAGGAGGGTGATCGAGGAACAGCAATCACGCGCAAGCATAAACGTTAAGAAGTCCGCGTGGATTTGTTGGTCGGGTATGCCCCCTTTTGCAGGGCCGCCTCAGGCGCTGCCCCTGGCGCGCTCCGCGCACGACGGCCGCGACCCAACAACTCCTCGCGGGCCTCCGAAAGTTTCTGTTTCTGTGTGTGTTGGTGCTCTGGAGGGCGGCGGCGGCGGCGACGACGTCCGCGACGGCGAGATGGAGGAGGGGCCGCAGCTCGGGCGGTGGCCCAGGTGCTGACCATCATCATCGCGGCGGCGCTCGTGGCGGCGACGGCCAACCCGCTCTCGAAGCGGCGGGCAGCGGTCCCTGGCCGAAGCGCCCCTTCTCCCCGCTCCTCTCCCCTCGCTGCCCTCGTCCTCTCTTCTCCCAACCCTCTCCCTGCCCCTTCCTCTACAACTGCTCAATCTGAATACTACTCCCCTCTCTCCCCCGAGTATGCCCTGGTAGTGTTCGCCTCCCCTCCGCGTGTTGGTCTTTTGCACAGGATTCGCGCGAGCTGGCTTTTCATTGGGCTTTTGTTATACAATCCGATTGTTTCCAGTGTCTCAAATGGTACTCAAGCTGCGGCGTGGGCCTCTTTCTCGGATCGGCGCTGTGCTCCGGCCGTTCGCACTGCGTTCTCGCCACAGCGTGGGTCACTTCTATGGATTCCGCATGTTGCGTATGTCCCGCAGGTCCCACAGGTCTCGCAGGCCCCACAGATCCCACAGATCCCGCAGGACCCACAGGTGTCGCAGGTCGTCCCCCAGGCCCCACCGCTATCACAGGTCTGCGATATCCCGCAGGTGCCACAAGTGTCGCAGGTCTCGCATGTCCCACAGGTCCCACAGGTCCCACAGGACCCGCAGGTCCCACAGGTCCCACAGGTGTCGCACGCTTCAGAAGTCCCACACAGGCCCCACAGGTCCCGCAGGTGCCACAGATCCCGCAGGTTTCGCAGCTCTCACAGGTCCCACAGCTCCCACAGGTCCAACACAATGGCGTCTTCTGTGGAGTTCCAGGTCGGCCATGACACACGGCCGCGGGTAGAGGAAAGAGTGCAATTGGCAGGGATGGGAGGGAGGGATAGGATGTCATATATGGCGCGAGCGCACCTAGCTTGCTCCTTCCCCCTCTCCCTTCGCCCGCTCCCCCCCCCTTCCCCACCGCTCCACGCGCGGCGCAGGCCTCGCCCTCGTCGTCTTGGTCGGTGGTCGGCGTCGCCGTCATCCTCCCGCTTCCCTCGCAGGCATGGGCATTGTGCGACCCTGGGCCGCCCATGCCTTCTTATCTTGAGCGCCAGCCACAGAGCTACAGGTGTCGCCATCGGCTGCCCTGCCAGTCATTCCCATCTCCCCTTGCCTCCCCCCCTCTTCTCCCGCCCCCCTTCTCTCCCCCGTGCCCTCCCTCCCTTCTCGGGGGCGTCCAAGAGCGGGTTGATGATGAATAGGGGGTGGATGTCATCGCGGGGGGCATGATATCTCCCCAGATCGCATCGCTCCTTCTTCTGCTTCTTCTGTCCTCTTCTTCTTCTTCTTCTTTTGTTTGTCTTCTCGTCTTTCATTTCGTACTTTGGTCCCCGCCTCGTCCGCGCACATGCCTCGGGCAATGATTTGCGAACCCTCCTCTTGGACGTCCCCCTCTTGGCCGCCCACCCCCCGTCGCCTCCCGTCCAGCCTCCCCCCCTTGCCCTCTCCTGTATCGTCTGGGCGGGGCGGCGGCAGTGCGGGCGCCCCAGAGGTCGCGGCCCAGGTCGAGGGGAAGAAGTGAGCCGCGGCCCCCTCGGTGTACTGCGAGAGCCGCTCGGCGCTGGCGGCACGCGTCGTGCCGGGCGGCAGAGTTTTTTTTTGAAGCGCAGTCTGCGCTGTTGGGAGGTCTTCGATTTTCTCGAGCCCGCCCGCCACATGGAAAAGCCATCCGATCCAGCACCGTGACAGCCTGACACTCTGTGCGCCTTTCTCTCCCAGGTCCAGGACTCGCTGACGCTGGTGGTCTGCCGTTCTGTTGGTTTTCGTGCCCCCCCCCCGCGCTGGTCCACCGTGCCGCTTTTGTCTGGCCCCTGGGGTCCTCCTGTGGCTCTCTGGGAGCGGTTGAGCAGTCTCTTGGGACTTTCTATGAGGCTGTCTTGTGGGCCGCGTGAGCCTCGTTGGGCTGTTTGGGGGGACTCTCTGGGGCCCCTTCGAGGCCGTCCGGGCAGCTTCTCGGCGTTCTTGAGAGCCCCGCCCGGAGGCCCCTCACAGTTCTCAATGGGGCCGTCTCGGGGTTCTCCTGGGCATTTTCGGGGAATTCTTGGGCCACGCTGGTGTCGGCCTTTGGACCCTCGTTGGGCGCACCAGGTCCCATGTTAAGCAGAGGCTTGAGAGCCTTAATGTTTTTGAGCCCTGAGCCTTCCCTTCAGCCCTCGTGGGTCGTCTCTTGGGGCCTCCTGGGGCTTTTGGGTCGCTTTCGAGGCCTCTTGAGCATCTTGGGGACCTGGGAGGTCCGAAAGACTGCCAAGGAGGCGGCGGGGAGGCGTCAGACCGCACAAGTAGCCTTGGGAGAATGTGGAGATGCAGGTAAACGTGATTGTCTGAGGATGGGAAGCGGGGGGTCTCGCAGACTTGGAGGAGCCGTGCCAGACAGCTCCTCGGCATTACACCACGACCCTACGGTCCAGGGTGCACGGTGGCGGATTGGTTAGTCGCGTGTGATGTCTGCGTCATCCAGCGAACCATGAAGTGGGTGTCGTACTGGATCACCGCACACCTTGCGGTCCAATGTCAGGTACTATCGTATGTTTTCTGGAGGCAGTTGTATTCTGTTGAGGGTGATGACACCGCCACCACCAATGCCACCACAATATTGCTGCCACCACCACAGCCGCTACGACCATTACTAGAATTACCACCGCCATCGCCACCGCTATAGCTACCGCGATTGTACCGTCCTCACCAGCCACCACCATGAACGCCACCAGTCACCGCCACCCACCCTCCTCGCACTCTGGAATACCACCACGCGCAACCAGCAGCACCACCAGCAAGACACACCACCGACGCACAACCAAAAACGAAGCTATCACCACGACGGCAGCGTCCACCGCGCAGGAGCACCGCTAAGCATCACAACCACTACCCCGCCGTATCGTCACTTCCAGTCGTAACCACCACGACCCACCACTGACACCGCCATCACCGATCATCACCACTGAGCACGCTATAACACGGAGAAACACCTTACCACCGCTACCGCCACCTACCATCATCCTGGCACCGTCACGACCGCCACAGGCATGCACGCGCACGGGCAGACGCCAGCGCATAGACATGTATACGTCCCGCTGTATGGATGTGCAGAAGTTCAGCCCGCAGGGAGCGCCTCCTATTCCCTCCCCATCGCCCCCCGCCCTTCCTCCTCCTCCTCCTCCTCCTCCTCCTCCTCCTCCTCTTCCACTTTGGCTCAAGCCATTTTGGCTCAAGACATTTTGGCTCAAGAACCACTCTGGCCCAAGCCTTTGCTGGGTCCAGGGTGTCCCTAAGCTGGACCAGCGTTCCGCTGTGCTTTCTTGAGCGCCTCATCCGAGGCGAACGCAGGGGTGCTCGGTCACTGGGCGCTTCGGGCTCCGCCCGTCCCGCTTGGTGGGTGAGCTCTTTTGCCGCACGCCACTCATGTCTGTGCTCCTTGTATTCGCGCTCTTCCTGGTGGTCGACTCGAAGGTGATCGTTGAGCACAATGCATCGGCAGCATTCGGCGAGTAGCGCCTCACCACTTCTTGTTCTCCGTTTTCATCTACGGCAGTCTTTGGTGTGTTGCGGTGTCTGCGCCTTGGTGTACGTGGTCCCCGCGCTCATGTGCCTACCCGTCTCGCTTCACCGCCCCCATCTTCGGCTCTCGTGGCTGGCCTTCTTGCTGTGCTTCTTCGGCTTCGGGCAGGACGTAGCCCCGCTATCGCTTCTTGGGGTCGTGATGGTGGATACGCCGCCGGGCGTGCTGGGCGCGTCAGACGCTCCAGAGCTGAAGTGCCTCTTCGAGAGCAAGGTGACGGACAAGATCGTGACCGTCGTCGGCGTCGCGACGGTGACGGTCAACAACAAGGCGCCCATCGTGCGCTCCGCGACTTGGGCGCGCCGCTGCCTGCACATCGTATTCATGTTGTTGTGTCTCAGCGGGCGGCCGCCGGGCACTCTTTTTCATGCGATGCAGGTGGCGGGACAGTTCAGGCAGTATGCAATGCAGCCGCCGCCGTATTTACCCAGATTTGTTCGACAAGGCTGTTGGAATGCTCTCATTTTTCCCACCGCCGCCTGGCGACCTCGGCGAGGCTCTTTGCCCGCCCGACAGGCCACGGTTGGACCATGGCGTTGTCGTTCCTGCTGGGTCGCGCCATTGTCTTTGGAACGGCTACCCTGAGCAGCCAATCGTGAGGCCAGGCGTGCTTGAGTTTATGCGTGCTACCGCGGCTGGCATTGCCCCTAATGCAGGCGCCAATTTTAAGCCAGGACCTGCGACTCCTCGCCCCCCCCCCCCTCAGCTCGGCTCGGAGCGCGGCCTGAGTCCAGCGGGGAAATAGGTGCTCGAGACCGCAGCAGGTCTCGCGCCCACATTCGCCGCGCCAGGCCAGTCTCCTCGCCGAGTAGCTCGCCCCCTTCCAGCGGAGGCTCGGCCTCCCAGAGCGTCGATGGCTCACTGTCGCCCAGGGAGGAGCCCAGTAGTTTCGTGATGTCCGCCAAGGAAGGGCTGCGCCGCGCCCCAGAAGCTTTCGAGGAGGCGAAGCGCCGTCTAGTCGCTTCTTCACCGTCTCCTCGGCCTGGTAAGCAAGAATCAGCGGCCCGTCCTCTTGCTGGCCCGCCGACAATACGCCTGGTCGAGGCCCGCCGCGCCAAGGAGCGCAGCAGGGCTCCTCTGGCCAAGTCCCACGCAGGGGAAGCCACGTGTTCGGTGGGCCACTCACTAATCCTATTACATAGGCGAATTGGAGGTTCGTCTGTGAGTGGTGCAACAATCGATTCCCGCGTGGCTCGATCACTTTCTCGTGTAAGACGTGTGAGCGCACGGTCTGCGGCGACTGCTACTCACCGCCTACGCTTCCGGAAGAAGTGTCTGCTTCCGCGCAGGAGAGGGGCTCGGCAGCTGGCGGCTCTGCTCCGTCGCAACGATTGGCCGCCCCCGCTGCCAAGCGCGCGCCTGCCTCGGCGCGCGCCGCGGAGCAGGTCCCAAAGAGGCCGTTGAGGCCCAACCATGATGACGTGCCCCCCCCCCCCCCCCAGCGCACACGACTTGCAAGGGCAGGGCCTGGCCAGGATTGTACTCGACATCAGGCAGGCACCACTGTGCCGCTCCTTCGCGCCGCAACTTCATGCCCGAAGGATGGGCGCCGTCCTTCGTCGGGTGCCAGAGCAGGCGCGTGGGGCGGCCAGCGGCGGGGTCTTGCATCGCTCAACGCGGGCAAGGGCTTCGCGCGCAGATTTTGCCGGCGCGAGGAATCCACGGAGGCAGACGTGCCCAGGCGGCTGCGCTGGTTCACGCACCGACAGAACTGCACGGCCGTACATGTCCACCCAACCCTTCCGAATGGAGGTGGGCGATCACCGTGCAACGTTGAATCGCGGTCATGACATCATGAAAGCGCGGGGCGGGTGCCCCCCCACCCCGGCCCCCATGCCTGGGCGAACGGGAGGGGGCGCCGCGCGACGCGCAGCGGCGCGGGGCGACGCTTGCCCAGGCGTTGGGCGCGAGGCGTCGCGCAGGCCGCCCTGCTTGCATGGGCGAGCGCGCGAGGGGGCGCGTGCGCCGCCCAGGGTTGGGGGGGGCGTCGCGCACGCACGGTCGCTGGGGGGTGCCCCGCCATGCTCGGCGAGAGGCACCTGCGGTGCGGCTTTTGGCAGTCCACCGCGGCCGTGCGTGCGGGCGCCGTCGCGCGCTTGTCCATGTGACGTGCAGTGCCTGGGTGCGGCTCTTTGCACGTGTGTGGCATGTGTCCTCGGTTCATCCGCGATCGCATTCTCGCGCGCGTTTGGTGTGTGGATGGCCCGTGCGTGGCACTTCTGCCCGTGTGTGGCACGCCCGTGTGTGGCATCTCGCCTGTGTGTGGCACCGCTGCCCGCGCGTGGCACTTCTGCCCGTGTGTGGCACGCCCGTGCGTGGCATCTCGCCCGTGCGTGGCACCTCTGCCCGTATGTGGCACGCCCGTGTGTGGCATCTCGCCCGTGTGTGGCATCTCGCCCGTATATGGCACTTCTGCCCGTGTGTGGCACACCCGTGTGTGGCATCTCGCCCGCGTGCGGCACCTCCGCCCGTGTGTGGCACGTCCGTGTGTGGCATCTCGCCCGTGTGTGGCACCGCCGCCCGTATGTGGCATTTCCGCCCGTGTGTGGCGCCGCTGCCCGTGCGTGGCATCTCGCCCGTGCGCGGTACCTCTGCCCGTATGTGACACGCCCGTGCGCGGCACCTCCGCCCGCATGCGGCACCTCCGCCCGTGTGTGGCACGCCCGTGTGTGGCATCTCGCCCGCGTGTGGCACCTCTGCTCGCATGTGGCACGCCCGCGCGTGGCGTCTCGCCCGCGCGTGGCTCCTCCGCCTGCATGTGGCTCTTCTGCCCGTGCGTGGCGCGCCTGCGCGTGGCATCCCGTCCGCGCGTAGCACCTCTGCCCGGATGTGGCACGCCCGCGCGTGGCATCTCGCCCGTGCGTGGCACTTCCGCCCGCATGTGGCACTTCTGCCCCTGCGTGGCACGCCCGTGCGTGGACTCTCGCCCGTGTCCCTCTGCTCGCGCGTCGCGCGCGTCCTCGGCCCATTGGCGGCCGCAAATCCGCGAAGCAATGGAAGTAACGCGTTCCGCCCGCGTCGTCCGCGCAGCGCGCAGCTGATCCGCGGGAGAACTTCGGTTTCGAAGTGGCGCGGTCATCATGGCCTCTTGCTCTTTTCCTGCTTGGATGGCCAAAGTTGAATCCGAGGCTCCGCGAGGGGATGAATTATACAGGAAT